AACCGTGCCGATTTTTTAAATGTCGCTTCATGTGTGTAGTGCGGCTCAACACTTTGTGACACACTGGACATTGTGTCGTTCCTTTATGCATGTTCATGTGTTTGTACATCGAGTCCCGATTCCAAAATGTTTTACCGCAGAGTTTGCACGAATGCGACGGCTGTTCGATGACCACCGTACGTGAATCTAAATCAGATATAAACGTTCATGGTAGTGGGTGCGCCGATCTCGAGCGAACACAATCCGATATCCGACGCGATATTATCGTCATCGTCATCATCATCATCATCATCATCATCATCTCCTCATCATCGTCATCATCATTTTTACTCTCGCACTCTCTCTCTCTCTCTCTCTCTCTCTCCCTCTCTCTCTCTGATCCTTTTGCGTATCGTTCGACAATGACTACTACGTTTCATCGATAAACGTTACAACATGATCTTATTCCCTTTTCTTTTCTTTTTTTTCCTTTTTTTCTATTTTCTACGTTTTTTTTTTTTAAATTTCTTATCGTTAATTCGTTCTTCTGTTCGCTTTCTTTCCTCTTTTTTCCCCTTTCGTTTCTCAACTTATTCATTCGCTTCTCTCCCTCTCCCTGCATTTTGCTACCTACTGTCCATTCACTCGCTTACTACTACTCATCCTCCTCGATCTATGTATGTAAGTACGTATCAACGATTCGAGGAGACGAACGATAAGAAAAGGCAGCACACACGAATCAGTTGTATAGGGAAGAGCAACCACGAGGTGATAAAACACGCAACTGTAAACTCTTGGAGCAGTCATGCTACTGTGATTTGTGGATACAATGTTCGAATGACAACAAAACAATGTGTATACGTACAAAACATGTTCGATTATTCATGCAGAAGAATATCAGATGTCCTATTTTGATGGTGTCGAGTGGTTACAGTTAAAAAATGCAATTGAAAATTACAAAACAAGCATCTTGTAATTACAGTGATCACACGTTTACCTTAAATGGGATACACAAAAAAAAAAAAAAGAAAAAAGAAAATTAGGTTGGTCTGTAAATATTTGTCAAAAACGCCTGCCGTGTGCAGTGAACCGACAATCATGTATTCCTTTTGAGCAGTATACGTTCGTGTATGAGCGTGGGTACATAATACGGTAAAAAGTTCAAGCTACGTTTCTCCTCGCGAACAACGCAAACACTCCCATCAACGAAAAACACAAAACATTTTCTACGATATTTTTATTTCCAGTTTGCGCATGTACAAAAGAAAAATGGTGACTTGTTGTTGTTGTTTTTTTTTCTAGCAAGCATACTCTCTGTACATTGATAAGGTACGCGATATAAAGTGGTTCGTTTCAAGGTATTGATTCGTTAAAAGTTTCATAACGATGACGAGGATTTCATACTAAAAGACGACGAAATCCTTTCGCCTATGCTCCGATTAACGGGGGGGGAAGAAATGGTAGGTACACATATCGGAAATGAACGGGAAATTTCTATGCGATCTACTCCTTGAACAACTGTGAATTCAGACGTGTGAAAGTTATCGTATCAATTGTCCGTTTCCCTCTCTTTTCCTTGCTCTTCCGTTAATTGCTGTACAATAAAGATAAAGACGTAAAAAAAAGAAGAAAAAAAAAGAAGGAAAGAAATCAATCTTTCGATAAAAAAAAATACCTTGCGATAAAATGATAAAACGGTAGAAATGAGATCCCTGCAATTTCTATGGTATCTTACAATTATTATGTACACGGTATGTACAATTCAGCCGTAAATCGTGTACCGTACACGATACTAATTAAGTATACTGTATTCGTGGAATGATAGATATTCTACGCACAAGCTTCGATTCTGCGTGCACGATAATTAAACACGAAAGTCGATTAAAAGCAAGAACAAGTGAATGCAAACGATTCACCGTGAAACACAAGTATGGATTTCGGTTTCTTTTCGCATGAAATTCGGAATGGCAAACTTAAACGTGTCGAACTCCGCTTGGCTTAGGTACAAGCGGATTCGTAAAAGCAGTCTTGCAATTTTCCTACGTGTTACAATTTGTCACTTTGTTAACTGTATAAACTGTTTCTAGTTTCGAGGAATCTCGTGTTATTTAACGCCGTGAACGTTCAACATGTGACAACGCATCGTGTATTTTCGAGTGAAAATAGTCTGACAGATGGGACAAATTGTGTCACCCCTATGTATGCTACGATGGTGCGCCAAAGAGTCGCCACGATTGTACGTGCGACCGCAGACGTCGCACACCCAACGACCAGTTTCGTCGTGAAGAGGTTTAGACCTACGTCTGATCCTTTCGTAACCATGGCTGGTCTGTTGCTGTTGGTGTTGCTGTTGTTGCTCGAGCTGTTGCGACTGCTGCTGCTGCTGTTGCTGCTGCTGTTGCTCGTCAAGTTGACGTTGACGATGATTCCCAAAAGGCGTTGTATCGTGCTTAGATTCTGCGCACACAATCCAAAGTGTTCCCATACACACAGCAGACAGGCTCATACTTATGTGATTAACGTTTTCTGCAGCTTTGCCCGCTGCGCTTGCCTTTCGTTCTCTATATTGTTTTTCAAATGTTAACGTGTCCCGAGAAAATCGAACTAGCTTGGTTAAATTTCTGACGCGTCAAGCGTCTTGCAGAGATTAGGAGGTAAAGGTTGATCGGAGAGGATACGACGAGGTTGTAGTATTGTACGACGAACAGGCAGGAAAACCGACATTTTCGTACAGGGTCCTGTGTGGTATGAAATATCCACGATTTTGTGCATATTCGACCCAGTGGTTCAGTGGCTAAAGAGAAAAGAGTTTCTTTGTTTTCTTTTGTTTACAGCCGCAATGATACACTGATTAAATGAATTTGCACGATTGATTCAAGCGTTGTTCGTTCGTTATTACAACAGTTTTACCATCTTTGAGCGAGTGACAAAGAAAAGGTGTATTTGTTTTTTTTCTTTTTTTTCTTTTTTCGGAAAGTTTTATTAAAACTTCCTAACAATGATTCAGGTATGAAATATATCTTTCGAGGCTGTTGCTCTTTTAGTAAAATCGTATACAAACATCCTGTAATAATGTGAAAGTTTTAACTATAAACAGATACGGCGTATTAACGTATAAACATAAAATTAACCCATTCGCTGTCGCTCATCACCGAATCCTACTTGGGATTCTAGGTTAGAAACTAACTTGGAATATGAAAGGGAAAGCTAACGAAGTAAAATAGGAAAATTCGATTTTCCGATATTACGCATCACGCTTCTCTAGCTGGCAGCGAAAGGGTTAAACGAACATAGCGCATCGCACCAACAGTCGCATTTCTCTCAACGCACGTACACGAGAGGTTTACCTCGCGTAAGTATCTCGAAGCAATTAGCGAATACGGAATAAAAAATCACGCGCGATCGTTTCGAAGCAAGAAAGAAAAAAGAAAAAAAAAATAAGAGAGAGTAGAAAACGAGAAGTAAAATAGAAAAAATCGAAGAAAAAGTCGGTTAATTGTTAAAAATCGCTTATCCTCTACGTTATATGTTTCTCTCTGAGGAACTTTACGTTTTCTCGCGTCATCTTTCGTCGATGGCACCTTCTTGTTCTCTCGTCTTCTGACACACATATCAGTCTATTTAACGCGAATACGATCGATTCGATGGAAATAATCTCTCGAGTCTATTATTCACAGCTTAAGTATATTAGTAGAAATGAAATGCGAAGGATAAGTAAAAATGTAGCGACGTCGAAAGGATATAGTAAACCGTTGAACGGGATACGGGTATACACGTATATGTGGGATAAATCTACTACTCCATGATAAAACGGTCACCGGACGATTGATCTCGATCGCTGTTTCCTACAGGTGAGCCGACGAGTAGGAGAACAGTCGAAAATGAATGTCTCCTCGCGAGGTGATGCTACGCGACGTGATCACTTTCGAAAGTTCAACTTAGCGTCGACACTGAACGTGCACTTGTGGATGCGCAGTAAGTGAGCCTTCATGTCGTAACTTCGACTGAAGATGCGCTGACAAATCGGGCACCTGGTCTGCCCTGTATGCAAGTCCTTGTGCAGTGTCAACGACATCGGATGCTTGAAACCTTTCCAACAAATTCTACAGCGAAACAATAATTCTGTATCCGTGGACTGACCGTAGTCATCGTCCGAGACGAGGTCCGCGGTTGCAGGACCGGCGCTACCACCCCCGCCCCCTGCGGTATCTCCTGCTCGTTCTACAAATAAACACAAACACACAAGATCACCTCTGTATTAACCACAATACACTGTGTGCCATATGCAAACTTAGATATCGCGTTCTCGCCGAGGCACGATACCTTTTCACCCTCTACTTCTTTTCTTACTAGCTCTAGCTCTCTCTCCATCCACGGCCTTACGTTCTTCGACAACGTTTACCCCATTCTTTTTTCCTTCCTAGTCTGTCTTGTCCATGTAACGCGAACGCTGCCTTCAGCGAACGTTCGCCACCAATTGTTGCACGGATCGCTTGAAATTTTTACTACGATTTCGGCAACGATCGACCGAATATGCCGTTCACAACGATACGGTCGATCGTTTGTTTTTGTTTTTTGTGCGTTCAAAAGCTCAAGCTGATTAGAATAAGTCCGATTAGACCAAACAACAGAGAAACAGAGAGCATACGACACCACCGAAAGGAGATTCAAGCTCGCTAAGTCCCCAGGCTGCCGAAATACACCGAAAGTAACAATATACCAACAACGCGACATTTCTCATTTTCGCGATTCATTCACTTTCCCTTTCCCTCCTCTCTATCTTAATCTTCGCGTTAGAACTTCGTAAAAGGATCGTTACGAAAGGTAAGCTGTCTTCGACTACAGTATCGCTTCGATTCTTTTTATTATATGCTTCGCATGTATTTCACAACTTTTTTCTTTTTATAAAATTCTTCGTCGAGCCGAATTTTTCACGACGTTTCACGCTGCGGCTTCGACCGATCCAACGCCTAATATTATCACGAGTATTTGAAAGGAAACAACTTGGACGGCATTCTATAATCGTATAAACCGTACAAAGACAATTAAAAAAGAAAAGAAAAAAAAAAGATAGAAGAAGAAGAAGAAAACGCTAACTTGATTCTGAAAAATCTACACTATCGGAGAGCTTAAGGCGATCAATTCATGATGCTATGAAACTTCCAACGATTGATGTCAGTCTATGTAAGTGCTCGTACTAGAAAGCA